CTTGCATTTCTTCTTTGTTTTCTTTATTTTCTTCCCGTTCATTATCTTGTTGCATTTCTGGCTCCTTTCTTCGGTTTAATAGGGCCAAATCTATTAGTAGTCAACGATTTATTAGGGAACCGAAAATTCCGTACAACAAATTTTAAAAAAAACCATTAAAATATAAATTTCATTAAATTAGACAGCTTCAAAATTTTGCAAACCTTAGGGTCAAGTTATATGTTAAACTTTAATTTTGGTCTGGGTCAAGGTCAAATCATATAGCAAACAGCTACTGACCGACCTATCTTTGCAGGTCCTGGTGTGACACATCATTGATGTAGAAAGAAAATCCCATAATTTTTTAAAATTCGCAATTTTGATATAAATATTTGCCATGGTTGTAACTGTTGATCCTTATCCTCTCAAGCCTTTTGGCTAAGATCAAGTGTAGTATCTGTTCTTTTCAGCTTAATATCTGAAATGATCCACACTGTGGATCTATGATATTAAACTAATTTTTTAAATTGGGGGGGAAGTCCCTAGCTTGCTACACTTCTCTCCAGGGTGTCCCTAGTATTGCACTACCTCTAGGGATGCCCACCTTTTTTTATTAAAGCGGGTTGGGTTGTGGGAATAAATAAATAAAAAAAATTTTTCATCTGAAATTTTTTTTTTTAAAATAATAACTCATTTGTTATTATGAAAAGAAATGACGATTAGCATACTTATTATTATGGAATTTTATTTTTTAGTTTCTTATTTGCACGACAGTTTCAAAAGTCTTAACATTAACATGTTATCTCTTAAACTGTACAAGTCACAAATTTGTGACTTATGATATTATTAATAAATAAGACTTTTGGCATGTGAATACGGTTTATGGGATAGAACATCGACATAAAATTATTTAAAAAAAAATTTTTTAAATAAATAATTGAGATTGACAATTAATATCTTAGGATCGTGGGTCCTCAGACTGATGGCAGAGTATAGATTTGGACCGGACTGTGACATCCCTACCTGTTTGTATAAACATAAAAATTTAAAAACCCGTTATTACAAGAATTTAATTATAATTATAGTGTGAGGTCCACTACGACAAAGTTTCTGTAAATAACGGATTTTTTGGAAATTTTTCTAATTATAATAGTACTAGTGTTTTTTTTTTTAATGCAAAGTATGCATTCCATCACCGCAGAAATCATTGTCCCTGGTGTGATGGCCACGAAAATACGTGTTTAATGATTGCTCGTCTCACATCTCAATAGCGCATTTCGAGTTCGTGTTCCATCTACGATTATAAAAACAGACGGGATTTGTTGGAGTATCGGGTAAGGAATAAATCGGAAAAATAAATCGTTTTCACATTGCATTGAATAATCAAACTAACTCTAATGATCGAAAAATGTACTTTGCGATCGTAATTTGTGATTTATATAACCAGTGACTTAACTCCTGAGATTCTCGCAATTATCCCGGAAAATGGCATAATATATACTGTAATTCTAATAGTAGCATTCATATTTCTACGCAAAATATAATTTCAGCTCCGGCTGATCCGACTACAAAAAAAAAAACTCGAGAAAGCTATCTTAACACTCAATAAACAAAATGCATACAGAGGCGAAATGGTGAAGCGAAGCCCGCACAGGAAAACAAATACATGTATATAGGTCATACTAAATCCAAAAAATTTAATACACTTTTTTTTACATATTGTAGAATACACAATTTTTTATTAATATTATTTTATAATAAATTTTACCAATTAAAAAATTTTTGATTTTTCTTCAATTTCTTCATTCAATATTAATGAATTCTCATGTACAATGATCCTAAATTATAAATAATCCTACTTGGATTATTGCGAAAATAAACACTACAACCATTCAACTATACAATTAAATGTACCTACCATCTACTATTGGAAATTTTTTTTTTATACATGGAAATTACTTTGTCAATACATATCAGAAAGGACAAAAAGATGACTTCCATCCATAATTGGTGAACTTTTATGTTTCAACAAATTGGGACTGTTACAAGAAATCATAATTATTAATAAAAAAAAGATACCTTTAAATTTACTATTTTTATATGTTTGCTCCAAAAATTTTGTCTATATTCTTTTGTCAATCTTTTTTCTCTTTGCCTTAATAACCTTTCAGTTGCATCGACGGAATTGTTTGTGACTGGCAAAATTTAGTGTAATAATTGCATTTGTATTATCATAATTGAATTTTTCAATGGATATTTATTGTATGTTTCATGTGATTTACGTATAAAAACCAATTTGCCATTTGGCAACAAAAAACTTTCGTCCAAGTTAAAAAAGTTTGATATTCTTGATAACGTGTATTTAATTCAAATAAAGGTTTAATAAAATTATAAGCTAATTCTTTTCTTTTTCTTGTTCCAAAACTTTGTGACATTCATCTTCAAACCCATTTTGCAACAATTCAGAAGCAAAATTCATAGCAAGTATTTATATCAGCATATTCTTCCTGCTATAAATTATTACCTTCACTAGTCAAACAATTCCGAAAATAGTTAGATGTATCAACCATCAAACTCTACCAAAATCATTGTTTTGTATATTTCACCGAGTTATCAATGAAATAATTAATTTCGAATATTGTGCAAGCTTAATGGCATTTTGATTTTGTTAATAAGTTATGTTTGTAATTTCTGAGTCTGATGGCCATGATAATAAATTAGAAAAATCTGAACTGACATCACCAACATTGTAATCAAAAAAATATCCTGTAAAATTAATGAATAGAATGTTATTTCATTTAATATTCAGTTAATTAAAAATCAACTAACCTTGATTGTTGGTTTTATTTTATTCAACCGTTGTCCCTGTTATTGTTATAATTGTCTCATGCCACATTATTACCGTTGTTACTATTACTATTATAATTATGATTGTTATTTTTACCATTTGTGATTAATTACTGTTATTATTCTGTGGGCAATTTTTACAAGTAATAACAATGTACACCTATCACTCATTATTATTATTGCTTCTTGCATTTATTGTTCCATTATTATTATATATTATTCTGAGAACAATTCCATCTTACATGTCCTATGACATTGTACTGGCGGACGGCTTTCATTCATTGCACTGTTTTATATCCTTGATCTTTGATTATTCTGAACGTTCATCATGTTAGCAAATTGGTTAATTAGTCCTTGCAACAGTTGATCTGAAACAATCAACTTTCAAAATAACATGAATTAAGTTCGCGTTTTGTGAATTCGAGGATGCTTGACATATATCGCTGTACTGAATATGTCGAGAGAGTTACACCTTTTGAATAGGTCATCTCATAAGCTTTAGCTCTATCTAATGCGACTTGTATATTGTCTGGCAAGAATGGACTGACTGCTAAAGACAATTCAGACTGATAATTATAACTACCTCTTTCTATTTCATCATCATTCTCATCATTTAATTTAAAACCAACAATTGTGGTATTTTTAATACAAAGATCTAGTTCATTGTCTTCTAATCCTTTTAATTGGAAGGAATTGTCTTTCTAAAAAATTTTAAGCTCAAATTTTTTTAAAGCATATTTTACCTTTTTTTTTTTTTTGGAATTTTGATACATCTTCAAAAAATGATTTTAAATGCTTTAAATACTAATTCATTTGGTTCATATGCTTCTGGTAAAATTAAATTTTCAGATGATAATTCCATGCCATTTTCTAAATTTAAATCACTCGTGATATCACTATGAATTAAATCTATATATGATTGATCCAAATTTGAACATAAGTGATAATCTTTTGATAAATAAGATTTGGGTTTTATTTCTATTAGATATTATGTAAATAAAGAATAAATTTACGTGTGAAAATATGCAACCAATAAAAATGGAGTAGATCAATAGAATTGATCAATCCGTCAATCTCTTAATAAAAAAAAAATAAAATTTGATGACCAATAATAAAAGAACTAGCGATAGTAGTAGTAGCGGTAGCAGTAATAGCGATAATAATAGTAGTAATAATAGCAGTGAAAGTGACGAGAGTTCAGATTATAGTGATGATGAAGTAAAAATAGGAAAAGAAGTAAAAGAAGAACAAGAAGAATTTGAAAAGATTTCTAAAGAAATTCAAAAATCCAAGAAAAAATCAAATTTTAAAGTAATTAACTTTTTTTTTAGAAAAAGATTGCAATTTTTTTAAATTACAATATATATATATATGTGTGTGTATAAGTAGTAAATATTAATATTATATATTACAGAAGGAAATAATAAAAAGAGGAGTAATTTATCTTAGTAGAATACCTCATGGATTTTATGAAGAACAAATGCGTTCATACTTTGGTCAATTTGGTACAGTTACAAATTTAAAATTATTTAGAAATAAAAAGGTAATTTTGTTTTTTATTTTTACGAATTGATCTTATTTTTACAAATTGACAAATTGACAAATTGATAAAAATTTTAACAAAAACAACCAATTATTATTGATGATAAAAGACAGGAAAATCCCAACATTTTGCTTTTATAGAATTTGAATCTATTGAAGTTGCAGAGATAGTAGTTGAAACAATGGACAATTATCTTTTACTTAACCACATACTTAAATGTAAGAATCAAGTTTCTCATATCTTTTCAGAACTTTATTATCATCATATTTATACATATACATATATACATATATATATATATATATTTAAAAAAGGTAAATTGATACCGGAGTCACAAGTTAATCCAAATTTATGGAAAGGAACAAAAAAAAAATTCATTCCATTAGATTATTTAACCTTAGCAAAAGAGAAACACAATAGAAAAAAAACTAAAGAAGAAGTTGATAAACAAGTTGAAAGATTATTAAAAAAAGAGGAAAAGAAAAGAAAAAGATTATTAGATTTAGGCATTGATTATGAATTTCCTGGTTATGTAAGTGCTTAAATTATAATAATATTATTATTATCAAATTACTAATTATATATTAATCATTAATTAGGCTGCCTGTGTTATGAAAGAACCAGAACATAAAAGATTTAAAGAATAAAAATTTCTTTTGATTGTATGCTAATAATTTCTCTATCATTTAAAAATACAAACATAATCGGATCCACTGAGAGATTGATTATAAATTATTAACAATATTCCAATTGTTTATTGCGAAATATATAAATATATAAATATCTAAAGTTTATCTATCAAGTTTTTTTCTAACATTTCTATGTTTTCCTGATCCACCAAGTTTTCTTTTCTTAAAACTTATTTTCTCTCCCTTTTTCTCTTCTTTATTCTTATTAGAATTATTGTCATCATCATCATCATTATCATCATCTTCTTCATCTTCAAAAAGTTGATTATCTAATGGAAATGTTTTTTCTACAATTTTAAAGTTTATTAAATCATCAGGATTTTCTTCGTCATCCGCTGCTTCTATGTATTGATTATAATAATTTCCTTCTTTTACTGGTTGTTTATTATTTTCGCTATTATTATCATTATTATTATTGTCATTATTATTTTTCGATTTTGATGATGATTCTGTATTATCACTACTAGTAACAATAGATGGCAATGGTGGTGTTACAGGTCTCCATTCACCTATCATTGATTCTTCAGTATTTTTTACTGGTTGTGTATAAATTGTATCGTCTTCATATCCATATTTACTATTATTATTATTATTATTATTATTATTATTATTATTATTATTATAAGATTTTGTAGTTGATGATGACTCTGTATAATTATTACTATAGTTATTACTAGTTGTAGTAGGTGGTAGCGGCGGTGGTTTTATATGTGAAATGGATGAACCTGGTGCCAAAAGTATCACATCTTTTTTATATTGTTTCAAAGCTGCCTATAATAAAGAAGATGATAACAATAACAAAAATATTCATAAAATATTCATAAAATATCCATATAAATTAATATTCATTAATTAATACCCTTTCAATTCTATCCAATTCTTTTTTTGTTTTCTCTTCCTCTTTACGATTTTCGGATTCTTTATGGTAAACATTTCTTAAAAACTTTTCTACATTATCTTTATGTTTTTTACCATTTTCATGCATATTACGACTCTATTAATTAAAATAAACTAAATCAATAAATAACGTTGATATTGGTTTTTTTAATATAATAATACATACTGGTTTATTATCAGTAATATAGATTTTACAATACTGACACCAATGTTTTTTCTGTGAAATCCAATACTCTGACCTATGTACATATGATGTATTTGATTAGAGAGAAGATAGAAAGAAGAAACTTTATTTAATTGAATTAATTGGTTGATTTTTTTACATAGATAATTACTTACATGATTTTAATGATTTCTTTGGTTATATATAAGAAAAAAGTATTTCCAATATACTAGGTTTAAAAGTTATTAATTTCTTTACTTTTTTTATTTTCAGAATAAGTTTTAAAAATGATCACCTTAATATTTAAGGTGGGACAAAATCCAAAAACCGAAATTGATCATCATCATTTTTTTATGTAATTCTTCTGGTTTTTCAAAGATATAATAATATCTGAAGAAGTTGAATGTCCATTATATTTTCAATTAATTATTATTGACCCAATAATGTAAAATGAATAACAATAACAATAATAAGAGGAATATCAATTGATTTATCTTTCTTCTCGCCAAACAAGTTTCTTTGGCATGTCGCAAAGTATAACACCGAAACTGACGTGTAAACTCATTTTCAAAAACTACGTTTCTCGCCCTTGGATCTATCTTTGCAATTTAGGAATTGGTAATTCCTCCATATAGTATCTAGAAGTTGCAAAATTTAAGTAAAAGTTTATAATCTATTTTTTTTTTTTAAACAAATAAAACTCTCAACTACAGCAACTACAGGACTAACCAATGAAACCGAAGTTTCCGTTGCTATTAATTAATCTAATTCGTCAACTTAAATACAAGGAACTCGAACCACATTTGATGAATAGTCGAATTTGACGAAGATGAAAAGGCTCAAAATAATAAAAAAATAAATTATTTGTTTTTAATTCATTTAATCTCTGGGGTGTATGGATGGGATTATTGAAATGAATAAAGTTTTGAACGAGCCGAGTTTATACTTAGCTCGGGCACAAAAAAAGCACTAGCTCGAGCCAGCTCGAAATTTGATATTATTTTTTTATAAAATCAGATCATCGAAAATAATTGAATTTTAGAACATTTGATAATTACTAAAATGTTTTTTAGGTTCTGAAATATATGCACACATACAGTTAAAATGAATCTATTTAAAATCACGGTTCAACGAATTTATATGTTTTTAAAAATTCGTTGTAATGCGAATTTAATTGCAAGATTCATTAAACAAGATTCGTTGAAACTAGATTTGACTGTATAAAACTTGCTCGGATATTTGCAGAGAATTAAAACGAAATGCAAAAACGTTTATTATTGTTGAGTTGAGCTAGATTTTCTTCGTTTTATAGAAACTCCAAGTTGAGTTAAAACTTGAATCAAGCTGAGTTCAAGAAAATAGGCTCTTAAATTGTTCTTTAATAAATACTATGAAACGAAATAGTAGAATCAATCATTCGCTACCTAAAAAAAAAATCATGTATTATTTCTCGGAGCTTTAAATAACATTGTTGGCTCTGCAAACTCAACGGTAATTTTCTTATTCTTATTCTGATTATTATATTAGTTGCATTTCTATTTATATATATAGTTAAAGAAGAGATATATAAAAGTAATAGATAGAAAGAGATATAAACTTTTTGAAAAAAAAACAACCTTTGACCCTGCAATGTTTACATTAATTAATTTAATTTCATCAGAGACCCAAGTTTTATATAGAGAAAAAGCGAAGCCGTTACAACCGAATAAATTCATAATAGTTATTATATAAATAATAACTATTATGCTGATTATTATATTAAGAGTGCGAGCATGCAGCTCGAGGTTGTCTTTTTACTACTAATCCTCGGCTAGTACTTTTTCCCAATTAATTTTTCCTTTTACTACCCTGACGATGGTTCATGGTGGGTATCCTCTTTCATCTCTTACCAAGTCAGGTACCCCAGCAAAGTTTGCACACTTAAAAATATTGTGCTGCTAAAACGCACTTGGGTGTGTTTTAAGTACATCTTTGACTATTTTGGGTAGACTCTTAGAAAAATAAGTGTTATAAATAGTTGGCCCGGTGTAAAGACCTCTTAAATTTTGCACAAATTTTAAAGTCACTTTTAAAAAAGTGGCTTAATTAATTGATAGAATAGGTCTCTAGTTTTAATGTAATAGAAAGATTTTCTCACAAAAATTATTTTTTGTAGAGTTTTATTCTTTTTTAGTACATGTATTTCATTTGGAGAAAAAAGATTTAGGATATCATTTTCAATAATATTATATCAGCATCACCACTGCTTTCTTCTTCACTACTTTCTATTCTAATTGTCCTATATAAGTGTTTCATCACTTTTATCACTTTTGCCTCCCACATTCCACCATCATCATCAATGTTGGTATTTTTTGGACATTTTAATTTGTAATAAATAATACTACACCAATTTAAAAACACGTTCAAGCGTCAATTCGCTTTCCTTTTGTCATGTATAAAAGAAAAATCGGGCATTCCGATAAAATTTTAGAATGTCCGATAAGAATCAGCCATTTTCCGGGGTCCCTAATTTAAATTTATAAGCATTGTTGTACAATAAAGGATTTTTTATTGTTAAAATAAAAAAAAACTAAATCTTGCTCTAGTCGACATGGAAGTAGAAACTAGACAAACTTCTGAATGGTCTAAGCTTGAAGAAAGTACTCCAATCTCTAAGGGTAGTAGATGGGACGAAACACCTAGAGACTCGGAAGATTCAGTAACAGAGACACCACGCAAACGAAGTAGATGGGATGTTACTCCTCAAGTTTCAACAAAGAAATCTCGTTGGGATGAAACACCTACTCATCCAGAAGCTCAAATTAGAGCCACACCTGCTGGGAATTTGGAGTTAATGACTCCTACTCGTGCCTATGACACCTGAAGGTTTGTTTCATAAAAAACAAATTTTTTATTCAATAATATATTTAAGCATTTCAATAATTGCAAAAAGTACAACTATGGAAAAAGATCCAAAAGCACGTAATAAACCTTTATCAGATGAAGAGCCTAATGCAATGTTTCCTTCAACTGGTTACAAAACTCTGGAACCACTATCAGGATATGTACCGATCAGAACTTCTGCTTGTAAATTAATGGCCACACCAACACCAATGGTAGGCAAAGGTTAACCTCCAGAAATACCAGATGTTGGTAACTTGCCATTTTTTAAACAAGAAGATAAGCAACTCTTTGGTAAATTATTAGAAGATAAAGATGAAAGTGAATTACCTGAAGGAATGCAAGATTATGAGATTATTTCTTAAAATAAAAAATGGAACATCTATAATGAGAAAAACTGCACTTTGACAAATCATGGATAAAGCTAGGGACTTTGGAGCTGGAGCACTTTTTAATCAGATTCTTTCTCTATTGATGTCTCAAAATTTAGAAGATCAAGAACGTCATTTACTAGTTAAAGTAATTGATCGTATTCTTTATAAGCTCGATGCTTTGATTGTCCATATGTCCATAAAATTCTTGTAGTCATTGAACCGCTTTTGATTGAAGATTATTATTTTGCAAGATGTGGTTAGTAATTTTTTTTTTTTCCTTCTTTAGAGTTCGTGTATTCAGGCAAGAGATACCACAAATTGATTGTTATTTAATCAAATTATTTATTGAAAATTAATAATTTATTGTTATACTGATTATTATTATTTGAATTTTATATAAAATAGAGGACCGTGAAATTATAAGTAATTTAAGTATAGCTGCTGGATTACCAAAAGTGATTTCTACAATGAGATCAGGTACGTATATACACATATAAATATAATACATGCACATATTTTAATAAAATATAATACTTTATTTATTAATTATTTATATGATAAAAATACATAATAGATATTGATCATCTTGATGAATATGTTAGAAACACCACGGCAAGAGCCTTTTCAGTTGTGGCATCTGTACATGGAATCCCTGCATCATTACCATTTTTGAAAAGCGATATGTAAAAGTAAAAAATCATGGAAAGCCAGACATACAGGAATAAAGGTTGCTCAAACAAGTAGCTATTTTGATGGGATTTCCATATTTATATTATTTGATTGGATCAGTGTTGATTATTTTAAATATTATACTGATAACATTTTTTTTTATAAACGTCTATATATTGGTATATTACACTTTGTACAATTTATTATTGTAATTGAACTGGATTGGATAAACATTCTATGAAAACAGAGTTTGGTGGTTTGGTGCAGGCAAGAATCACTTTACAAATACCATATATTAATTAAAAAAAAAACAAGGTCACACCACTCCGCCTTCACCTCCATCTCCCGTGCCAATTTCTTCCGCCCCCACAAACTTTTATTAGTCTAAAGGTAAAACCAACCAGCAAGAAAAATTTATGATGACAACGAATATACTTGTTGGTATTAATTTAGTTAAAAAAAAACAATGATTGCAAAAACAACACAATCAGTCATTGACCGAATGCAAAGAGTAGAAACTCCAGCAGAATATAGTATAATTCGAAACCTCAACAAATAAACAATTGATAAAATTTTAACCAATGAGCATGTTTCTATCATACCCAGAAAAATAAAATGACAAGGAAAAAAAGAAGATATAGTAAATCATCTATATACAATTCAATAATTTAAACATGCGTCGTTTAATAATGATAGGAATTTCTTCTAGTCCAAGTCTTGCTCCTAGCACCTTCACTGAATCTTCCAATAGGTCACGATCGCCTAGTTATTAAAAGCGTTTCGGGTAAATTTATAATAGGATTTGGCACGCGTTATTGGTTGGAATGTTATTCATTCAATGGCATAGCTGTGAAAATATCATTAAAAAAATTGATATTGAAATTTCTGTGATGATCACAATAAATAATAATAAGTCAAAGAATCAAATTTAAAACATTTGGAAAAGTCATAACCTTTCCCACGAAAAAAGGCCCCATCCTCTATATTATTATATTATCTTTTTTGTCGTTATTTAGTCCTTTCCTTGAATATGAGCACCATTGTTTCCACTATTGTATCATGTCTATTAGATTATTCACAATGATTATGCAATGCGTATTATAATAATTGCATCGTTCAAGTATAAATGATACTAGGACCATGCAAAAATGAAAATT